GGAGGAGGACGAGGAGGAGGACGAGGAGGAGGAGGAGGAGGAGGAGGGAGAGGGGAGAACAGCTCCGAAAACTGGCCCTCCAGGCGGTGGTCCGGTAGAAACTCCCGCCTCGGAGATTCTCTGGGCGCGCGGCCGGGGCAAACGAAGACACCGCACGCTGTGTTCCACAGTCCTCGTGTGCAGACCTGCTCTGGGGATCTCTGGGGAGGCCACCAGAAACTCCTGGAGGCCTCTGGGGGACCCTGGGAGTCCCCCTGGAGCGGCTGCCGGGCCCACGGAGGCCATCTGGAGACCACCCGGAGGCCGTCCGGAGGCCGAGGAGGAAGCTGCGCCTCGCTGTGGGCATGCAGTTCTGTGCACCCCTCCTGCGACGTCGCGCCGAACTCGTGGGTGCGATGCGCTGTGCGTGCCCATCAGGAGGAGGAGGAGAAGGAGGAAGGAGAGGGGAGGAAAGAAGAAGGAAGGAGGATGAGAAGGAGGAGGAGGAGGAGGAGGAGGGAGGAGGAGGAAGGAAGAAGGAGGAAGGAAGAAGGAGGAGGAGGAGGAGGAGGAAGGAGGGAGGAGGAGGAGGAGGAGGAGGAGGAAGGAAGAAGGAGGAGGAGGAGGAGGAGAAGGAGAGAGAGGAGGAGGGGGTTCGACCTGCGGCGTACTACGGTCAGGAACTTCTGCCGAGCGAGCCGCGGCGGCGGCCCCGAGGGCACGCTGTGCCCTGCAAGCTGACGGCATGCCGCCCCGCCTCCGCGGGGCGAGGGGCTGCGAAGAGGCTCGGGGCGCCTGGGGACCCAGACCTGGTTAGGCTTAGGTCGGGCCTGTCCCCCTACAGGGGGATTTTGGAAGAAAAATGAAAAAATTGCCTCGGGACTGTTTTTTTGAGAATGTGTTGAACTTTTTGGGGTATGTTTGGGGTATCTTGTATTTTTCGTCGAAAGTTCTCCTGTAGGGGGACACGCCCGACATAAGACCAGGGGAAGAGGCGCCATGCCAGGGCCTGGGTTGGCCTTGGCAGGGCAGGGCGGCAGTGCGGAAGTGCCTCCTGGATCAGCATCAACAGCGAACAAAATACAGTGAACACGTATAGTAAGGACGCGTGGTTAAGGACGCAAGCCCCTTGGAGGGCGAAGTTGAAGTATTCTGGGCGGCAGGCGGCCAAAACCCGCAGAGGCTGAGGCAGGCAAGGGCCCAAGGGCACCCTTGAAAAAGTCGTTTGTCCTTACTATGCGCGTTGACTGTGGACAAAAAATGCACCCAAATGGCCAACAATGTACAAAAACTCGTGCCCCGGCCATTTTTCTACTATTTCTGAATATTCCCCCTGTAGAGGGACAGGCCCGACTTAAGGTTAGGCGTGTCGCGCCTGAGCGTGGCGGGCCAGAACTAGCGTCGCGACACAATACTCAAAAGAGCCTGGCCACATGAAGATGTAAACTTGGGGGTCCCAATCGCCCGAGATGTCGTCGGAGAACGACCCGAGTCCCAAATCCGCGCGGTGACGCGAATCCCACTGACTCACCACACGGTGTAGTCACCACGCCGTTTCTGGGGGCTCACGACAGCTTCCCAAGGGTTAGTTTTGCGGACTGGATCCAGTTTTGACGGTCCTGGGCCCCTATTACGGCCCCAGGGGCCGCAATCGAAGAAAAACGCCCAAATTGGCACATCAGATCGGTGCGGCCACCGTATCGGGCCCCCCCGGTGAACTTTCGATCCGCACGCAGCGCGCACCCCCGGAGACCCAGGAGAACTATCGTCGCGCTTCGCGCTCCGCGAAGCGCGATCATCTTCGCGCTTTCGCGCCGCCCCCCCCCCCCCCCCGTCTGGAGGCCTGGTGTGGCCTCGTGCGAGAGGACCCGAGCGACGGCGCCCTCGAGTCTCAGGAGGGCCGTGTCACGCCGTCAGGCGTCTAATACATATATATATATATATATATACACATACACACATCTTTATTTATATATACAGAGAAAGAGAGAGAAAAAGAGAGAGAGAGAGAGAGAGAGACAGACAGACAGAGAGAGAGAGAAAAGAGAGAGAGAGAGAGAAAGAGAGAGAGAGAGAGAGCTCCCCTCCCGCCCACCCTACTGTCGAAGGGGCCCAGGCACACACACAACTAGACTTTAGTCCCAGGACCCCCCATGTTTCACAATGTGTGTTCTCGATGTTCGTCCTCCCCTCCATCTTCCCACCCATCTTTGCCCACATCTGCTGGGGGATCGGCGATTATCTGTGTCTGCGCGTCTCTTTCCCCCCCGACGTGGCCACCGCACTTGCGAATAAGTGCGGGGGGACTCTGGTTGATCCAAAAGAGGGTCCAGCGAAAGGGGGGTGGTGCAATAGAGGTGCAACAAATCTGTTGTGTGGCAAAAGATTTGGGACGCGCAGCACATTCCGGAGCGCAGATGTACGGCTGGGCTTTCGCGTGCAGTGCGCAAGTTGCAGTGCAAGGCAAGACAACTCTCTGGCGCAGTACATGTGCAACCTGATGGCCACAAGTCAAATTCCCTGGTGCAGCACATGTGCAATGCGACTGTCCAACGCCTGCGGCACCACCCCCTTCCAGCTGGACGCATCATGTCGGGCCAAACAGAGTTAAGTCGGGCCTGTCCCCCTACAGGGGGATTTTCGATAAGAAATAAAACATGCCCCAACCATAATCGACAAATAGTCCAACAATAGTCTCGGGATTATGTTCTGAATATAGTTTGACCTTCTTGGGGGCATTGTTGGGGTACTTCTTACTCTTCGTCGAAGCTCCCCCTGTGTGGGGGACAGGCCCGACATCAAACCGGAGGGACGGCGCGGGCGAGCCGCCCCCAGGTGGCGCCCCCTCCCGTCGACCCCCCCGGGTGTCGGCCCCGAGCAGCGCCGCCGAGCGACGCCCCCACGGACGGAGACCCCGTCCAGCCAACTCGGGGAGCAGGGCGGCGCCCTCGGACACCTTCGTTGAGCAGGGACCGACCATCCCGGCATTTCTATAGCCTCACCACGACATGTTCCTAGAACCCCCCAAAAAAGTTCGAATAACACAAAACAGCATTTCTTAGAACATGAACCCGATGTGTTGAAACAAGGCGCTCCCAGCCAGAAATGTTCTAAGAGCATTTCGTGGCAACCGCAAAAGGTTCTCAGAACATTCTTTGGTAGGGCTGTAGGCGAGCCAGGACGCTTCGCCACTGCTTGATTTCGTGGAGCCCCCCCCCCCTTGGGGTCCGAAGTGGCAAGAAACAGCTCCCGTCGCGGTCTTTGCACAGCATGGCCCGAGGGGGGTCTGGGTCGGCGCCCGAGTGTCGTGCGCGCAGGGAGCGCGCGAGGCAATTCGGGCCTGCGGACTCCGACGCGGATCCATGGCGCCTCGTCTTCGTTTTGGGGGGGGGGGGGGGGGCAGAAAGCCCGAGGAGGCATGGAGTCCGTCAGATGCCTGGCCTCGCTGGAGGCCAGCTCTTGCAGAGACTTGCAGAGGCAGCAGTATTGCCGATCACGTGCACGAGCCTCCCTCTTCCTCCTCCTCCTCGTCCTCCTCCATCCTCCTTCTCCCCCTCGGTCCTTATTCCCCTCCTCACTCCACCCCCTCCGTCTTCCACCTCCTTCTTCACCTCCCGCCCTATTCGTCCTCGCACCTTTTTCTCCTTCCTCCCTTTTCCGTTGCACTGACTTCGTCCAGTGGACGCGCAGCGTCTGAACTCAAAGCGCCTCAGACACACACACACACACACACACACACACACACACACACACACACTGCATCCCTCTCCTCCTCCCGGCCAGTGGAACGGTCCCCGTGGACTAGTTTCACCACGGCCACTGGTCGAACACTTGGGCTATCCCATTTACTTTTAGGGTGTGGCGCATTGTCGTCCAACTACTGGGTTGTCGCAGTACGGATTTCCCGCAAGCTGCCTCAGAGTCTCCAGTACTTCGCAGATGGCTGTCTCATCCCTAACCATGGATTTACTGATACCTGAGGATCAGCCCCAATCAAAGTCATGTTAGGGCTATAGGGCTATGGGGCTGTTGACCTATAGGGCGATGGGGCTATGGGGCTACAGGGTTGTGGGGCTATGGGGCTGTAGGGCCATAGGGCTATAGGGCTGTAGGGCTATAGGGCTATGGGGCAATGTGGCTCTGGGGCTATAAGGCTATAAGCAATAGGGCCATAGGGCTATGAGTCTATAGGGCTGTGGGGCTATAGGACCATAGGGCTATAGGGCTATAGGGAAATCGGGCTACGGGGTTATAGGGCTATAGGCATATATAGCTATAGGGCTATAGTGATATAGGGCAATCGGGATACAGGGCTATTGGGTTATAGGGCTGAAGGGCTATAGGCATGTATAGCTACATGGCCATAGTGCTATAGTGCTGTTGGGATATAAGGCTATGGGGCTATAGGGCTATACAGATATAGGGCCATGGGGCTATATGGCGTTAGGGCTATTCTGCTATTGGGCCATAGGGCTATAAAGAGCTATAGGGCCATAGAGTTATAGGGCTCTAGGGCGATAGGGCTATAGAGCTATAAGGGCTATAAGGCTATAAGGCTATAGGGCTATAGGGCTATAGGGTTATTGGGCTATAGGGCTACAGGGATATTGGGCTGTGGGGCTATAGGGCTATAAGGCTATAGGGCTATAGGGCTATAGGAGTATAGGGCTATAAACCACCCGGGCACGCGAAAAACCAGGGCACCCGGTCATCGAGGCAGAGGGGCACCCGGGCGGGCCGCGGAAATCGGTGGCAAACCGCACCTAACCATATGAATCCGCTAGGAGTCCTACAGAGGCAAGCTCCGATTTGGGAAATACCCTTCACGACAACCTGTAGCGAGCACGGTGATACTCCTCCTCCTCCTCCTCCTCCTCCTCCTCCTCCTCCTCCTCCTCCTCCCTTCCTCACTCCCTTCCTTCATCCTCCTCCCTCCCTCCCTACCTCCCTCCCTCCCTCCCTCCCTGCCTCCTCCCTCCTGCCTCGACGATTCCCGCTCCCCGCTTCGCCCCCGAGGGCGCCTCTGGCTCCTCCTCTGCAGGCGCCAGCTCCTCGAGCACCGCGGGGCGGCGGGCGCTGGGGGCGACAACCGCGAATAAATGCCGACGACGGCAACGACGATGACGGAACGACGATTGCAATACCGAGGCTGTCGCTCGCCGCGCGCGCTCGCCGCGCGGGCGCGCGCGTCCTCGGCCGGCGCGGCTGGCGCGGGCGCCTCCGGCTTGCTCCTGCCGCCTCGCTGGATGCCCAACAAGAAATGCTGTCCCAAGCCAACAGCGGCCGCTGTCGTGCAGGCGGGCTTCTGTCTCAAACAGCCACAAGCCGCGGCGACACCGACCGCGAGTCCTGCTCACAAAAAAACAGGAACTGCTGTCGGTTTTTGTCCCCATTCTTTCCGTACCAATCTAGAGTCCTCCTAGACGGGGTCCGAGTAGATGGTGTCGGAAGATTGCACCACATCGCCGATGCATCGCCGATGCATCGGCGATGCTTCGGCGACGCCGGCGGCGCATCAACGACAGCAGCGCGGTGATCGCACCGCATCGCCGATGCATCGGCGATGCGGCGTGATCTTCTGACCCATTCTACAGTGAACCCGTATCATAAGGACGCACGACAAGGATGCAAGGGCCTTGGAAGGCCATCCCGAAGCTCTTCGAGCGGGGCGCGGCCAGCGACAGTGGCCAAGGATGGACCGAGGAGGCAAGGATGCAGGGGTACCCTTGGGAAGGTTGCCCATCCCTTGGTGGGCCCTGGAAACGACAGGGCCGTTTTTTCACTGGTTCCGTTTTGCCGTTTTTTGCCGGTTCCGACGCCGTTTTTTTACCAGTTCCGCCGCCATTTTTTGACCGGCTCCCGCTCTGATTCCAATCCTGGAGCCGTTTTTGTTGCCGTTTCCGGTCGCCGTGTTCTTGCCGCTTCCATTTTCAAGGGACACGTTTTCGGACACGGTGAAAAAACGGCCCTGCCGTTTCCAGGGCCCACTGAGGCCTATCCCTACCATGCAAGGGCTCCCAACTTCGCGCTTCGCGCAGCTTCGCGCTGCGCGAAGCGCGAAGTGCAAATGGCTTCGCGCTCCCGCGCCGCCTCCCAGGGGAGAAGAGGAGGATGAGGAGTCGGAGCCGAACCGCGCAGCGCGAAGCGCGAAGACCTTCGCGCCCTCGAGGGCGCCCTCGACTGTGCGCGCTGACCGTGCTCCGACCCACTCCCTCCGCACCCCTTCCGAGCGCCCCGAGCCTCGCGGCGCCGCCTCCGGCGCGGCCGGGGCGGGGGCCTCCTCGGCCGGCGCGGGCTCCTCCTCGGCCGGCGGCGCCTCTGGGGCCGGGGGCTCCTGGCGCCGCGTGGCCGCTGCGGGCGGCGTCGGCGTCGGCGTCGTCATCGTCGGCGTCGGCCTCGTCGGCGTCGGCTCGTCGACGTCGGCATCGGCGGGGATCGAGGGTCAAAGCTCTTTTGCACGTTTCTGGCAATCTGTCGTTCTCGGAAGATGGATGAAGGAGAGGCGATGAGGAGGGGGAGAAGGTGGAGGAGACGATGGGGGAGCGGGTGGAGGAGGGAGGAGCAGAATAGGATGGACAGGGGAGTAGGAAGGAGGATTAGGACGAGTACAGCAAGGACAAGAGGAAGGTGTGGAGGGGCATCCGCCCTCCTCTTCCTCTCCAAACCTCCTCGCGTTGCGATTGAATCCCGACGGAAATGCTCTGGTCGTTCTCAATCCCTAAGGCCCGGAGCCCCTCATGCTGAAACAAACAGCTCCCAGGAAAGGGTCGAAACCTCTGGGGGTCCACGTTTTGAAAAAAACGCGACGTCAGAGGTTTGGGCCGTCACCGCCACCACCAAAGAAGTACCGAGATCTCCTCAGGCACCGGCTCTACGTACGGGTTCGCCCGCGTGGCCTGCACGACGACGCGAGCGGGGAGAGAAAGGATGGAGCCTCTTCCATTGGGACATGGCTCCTCGACCACACAATGATGAAATATTGCGTCAAGCATGGCGGACGAGCATGGTAAAAGAGAGCGCAGGGGCTGGCAGAATAACACATGTAACCACAGAGATGGGAGCGACTTGTCGCAGGGCGTAGACAAAATGACGCAAAAGAGCATGTGCCACTAAACATGCGATGAACATGTAAGATCTTGGTTTCGATGAGCTCGAGCATCAGACGGCACATGATATGATAGTTGCGAGTTGCTTTATTTTGTGCGTAGCTGGCGCTGACTGCCGACTCGCAAATGTAGGGAGCTGGCCACACACTCACTCAAAACAGCATGCACACCTTGCCAAACTTGACACTGTCTCGCTAACACGTGGCGGTGCGCAAACGGGGGCGACGCGACAAAGGCGGCCTTCTTAGAAGGTGAAGGGGCTTCTCAGAAGGCTTGGAGCTTCTCAGAAGTGCCTGGGGGGTTCTAAGCCAGGAGGGCTGCGAATAGGCCCCATGCCTTCTGAGAAACCCCCCAGGCGTCTCAGAAGTGCCTTTTTTTCGCGCCAGCCAACCACGCACGCCTCCAATCAACTTCGATTCCAAGATGCGGAAGGCGACAAACTCGCGACCGTAGGGGGCCGCATGCGAACCCTACCCCTAACCCCCGACGATGTCTGAGGGGGAGGGTGGGGTTCACTTCGTTCGGGAGCTCCCGAGCGTAGTGAACCCCACCCTCCCCTTCAGAAATCGTGTGGGGGTAGGGGTAGGGTTCGCACGTGGCCCCCTAGACCGACATCTCTGACGTCATTGAAAGGGATCTGGGACATACAAATGAATACACACAAATAACCGGATTCCTGATATTTCCAATATTTTCTGGGTGTTTGTCTTCCCCCCCACTTCCCATATTTTCCCATATTTTCTAGATTCATTGTGTCTGTGTGTTTTTCCCCCTCCTGAGTCATGCCTCTCCCCCGTGCTGCGGCGGCCTCGGCGATGGAGGCGTCCGCCGTCACGATGGCCTCCACGATGGCCGCGCACGACTCCTTGTGGAGCCTGTCCTGCGCGGGCGCGCGCGCCGGCAGCGCCTGGAGGCGGGGGCAGAGGGCAGGCGAGGGCCCTCGGGCCTCTCGGGCCCCTGACAATGCCCGGAGGCGGCGCGCTCGTGGGCGGCGCGCGAGAAGAATCGGGGAACAAGAAGGGACATCAACATAAAAACTCGGGGGTCCGCGCGGATTTCTCGGATCGGCGCTGGGGCCCCCCGGCGGCGCCGGTTGGCGAGTCGCCCTAGAAGTCCCCGTGCCCATCTCGGAGCACCCCCCGCATCCCCTCGAAGTACCCCGCCTTAGCAGACGGCCACCCCCTCGCGCTACAACCGAGTGCACGCCGCAAAGCGCTCCGTCGGCGCGAGCTCGAACACCAACAGAAATGATGAACCATCGGCATGCCCGCCCCGACGCTGGGCCCCTTTCCCGCCGTCCTCAGCCGCCCAGATTTGCACATGAACCCGTTGGCACCTACCACGGATGACCCTCAGCGCGAGGCACCCCCTGCTCCCAATCCTGGGAAAGGGGGGCTTGCCCCCTCCCCTTTGCGCTGCAAAGAACTCCCCCCCCCCATCGCCGAAGCCTGCCGGAGAGACGCGCTGGCCTGCCGCCCTCTTCGCCAACTCTTTCCCGGGGGCGTCCCCGACGGCCTGCTCCTGCTCCTCCTCTTCCTCCTCCTCCTCCTCCTCCTCCTCCTCCTCCTCCTCCTCCTCCGTCTCCGTCTCCGTCTCCTCCTCCTCCTCCTCCTCCTGGCTCTCTTCCTCCTCTCCTCCTCCTCCTCCACGGCCTCCTCCTCCTCCTCCTCCTCCTCCTCCTCCTCCTCCTCCTCCTCCTCCTCCTTCTCCAGAGGTCCCCGACGGCCCCCCTGGAGAGGTCCCGAGGTCCCCTGACAGCGCAGCGCAGCGCCCCTCCCCCCCACGGCCGACGCTGGAGCTCCCGATCCTCTCTGCAGGGGCAGCGGGCTCGACGCAGGCCCTGCTCCAGCTCGCGCGCGTGCCGTTCGCAGCACGGGTCGAGTGCCACGGGATCGCCACTCGGATCCGCAGCCCGCGTCGAGGGGGGTGCAGGCCGCTGCTCTAGCTCACGCGCGTGCTGTTCGCAGCATGGGTCCAGTGCAGCGGGATCGCCACTCGGATCCGCAAGCCGAGTCGAGGGAGGTGCAGGCCGCTGCTGCACCGTGTCAAGGCTGCCCCCCGAAGGCTGCCGCAGCGACCCAGTTGGCACCGCCACAGCACAGCACCAACTGGGGCGTCAACTGCACGCGACGCCTGGAGAGGAGGAGGAGGAGGAGGAGGAGAAAGAGGAGGAGGAGAAGGAGGAGGAGGAGGAGGAGGAGGAGGAAGATGACGAGCGAGGCAAGGAAGAATGACATATAATGCGCATGGGTGGTGGTGGCACACAGCACTGAATAATCTGAACTTGCATCATCGACGTGAAATTTGGGTACGGGGTGGGGGGGCGGGAGACAGGGGTGGAAGCCCCTAAGACTAACAGCACAACGACCCTGTGGATTGGTTATTTCGAATGCCCCGTCCGCCCGACGTCGCTAAGCGCTCAGCAGGATCGCCCACATGTGTCTCATAAGAGGGGGCCAACCCTGAAGCCGAACAACTCGTACGCACAAGATTGGGGTCAGAAGCCCCTGTGTGCTCAGGTGGATCGAGGCGCAGCCGAGTAAGGGGGACTGCCTTCTCGAGCAGGTCCTGCACACGACGATTGGGCAATTTACCCTGACGCGCAATTCCAAAGACCGCCTTGCCTTTTCATGAATGGGGGGGCTACAGGGGCGGCATAACTTCTCCGAGCGTTTCTGGGACCACCCTCCACAATTCAAACTGACCACGGTCGACATTCGGACCTTGCATACAGACGGGCCCCAGCCGAGGTCACGAGCCAGCCCAGCCATGTTGACGAAGGAGCGACCACGAGGGTTCGAGAGCAATCGCTCGGGGTAGCCACACACATGCTTTTGCAGCCGTCCATGGGCACAAAGTCTGGCAGCCTTTCCGCCGCAACTACGCAATTTGCACGCTGCTCGCCGAAATCACCCTTCCACGCGTGGTAGCTGGTCTGCCGCCTTGATTGAACGTCCTGCGCGGAATCGGGCGGGCACCTTCCGGGGACGTGGCGGGACTCGCGCGGCTCAATTCATGAAACCCTCCGCACGTCCGATAACGAGAATGCTATCATGGAAGGCTCGGGTCTGGGGCCGGTCGGGGTGCGACTGCTGCCTTGGCCTGCATGTCGGCTGCAGCGTTGGCCATGGCGAACAAACGTTCAGTATCCCTCGGCTGCATAGTCTCACATTCTGAGCGGTGATCGTTCACATGGCGCACGGTCGGGATGAGCGGTGCGCCTTCCAGCTCCTGCGTAACCAATCAGGCGCCTGAGAATGTACTCGAGGCTGCTAGCTGCCTTGTAACATCCTGGCGGAGAGCTCAAATGGTCAGCTTGCAATGTGAGGATAGTTCGGCAGGCCGACGCGCGACTTGACCACAGATGGCTACACCGAAATGTTCAGCCATGGTTGGGGCATGTCCATCCTTGTCCATCACGTCAACAAAAAACGGGATCGACGGGGGACGCACGCTGTTGTCCTGGAAGGCAAAGGTGGCCGCGGTGAAAAGCAAGTTTTCAAGCTCAGCAAGCGCGGCGTGGATGAAGTCGGGAGAGACCTCAGCTTGCTCACTGACTTCCGCTTGGGGTCGCCGGGAACTGTAGAACCTGCAGCGGATCGTGCCCTTTTCTCCGCACTCACAAACCCCGTCGCGCAAAAGCCCCGCCCCATCGGATCGAAATTTGGTCCACAACCCTTGGCATCCACAACTCCTGTACAGGTGCGCATTATGAGAACGCGTGGCTTTCGGATGCGCGGCATCTCAGACCAAGTCAAGCGAGGCCCTGGCCCTGGCAACGTGGTCGCACGCGTGGGCCAGGGGGAGCTCGCGCTGCCGTGGGGGCCCTCGTCCAAGCAGGCCCGCCCACTAGCAATGAGGGCGGGGTCGATGACAAATCAATCGACCGGAAAGCCGGCGTGGCCAACGCACTTTGGGGGGCCGTGGCCTTTCGAGGCCGCGCGATCCAGGCAGCGAGACGCATGGGAAATCGGGCCCCTGGACTGCTGCCACGATGCGCGAAGCCCTGAAATACAAGGTCCTCAGATGTGTGCTTACGCACATGTCTTGATGAGATCCATGCCACCCTGCACCAGTGGGCGGCTGGTGCCGGTGCCATCCTCGCGCTGCGAACACCTTTCACAGCAAGCTTCGCATGCGATGGTGGGCCAACACTGGACACCGAGCGGCGCCGGGGACCTAGACCTCCACCCCTAGAGGACTCGCCAGGGCTGCGCCCCGCCGATTGACTTCCCGAACGAAGGTTTCCTTGGGACCTTGACATCGCTTTCTCATGGCCCAACCTTCCGAACGCTGTCCCTCCTGGACGTAGAACGGGGCTGCTGCTGCAGTCGAGCTCGGGCACCGCTCCGGACAGCTCCAACGTCTTCATGCGCGCCGAAAAAAAATCCCTGACTTGAACCTCCCTTCGGCTAAGGTTTCACTGATCACAAATATCACTGGCCGAGTCAATCGTGGTAGCTCTGATGACGAGCACCCCTACGGTGACGGACGCGTTGGTGCCCCTGCTGGCCTTGAAGATGTGCTCGATGCCCTCCACGGCCGCGCCCTTCGAAATGCCGTAGGCCGCGGAAGAGTTGCGCAGGGCAGTGTCGCCAGTGTAGCTGTGGAGGTCGATAGTGGGCGCCCTTGCCACGAAGGTGTCGAAGGCATCCACCCCTTTCGCCTTCGCTGCTAGGTCAGCGCATGCGTCCCCTGCTGGGAAAACGAAGCAAGCGCATATGCATTCCTCGGCGTGGAGCTTGCCGAGTTGCACGGTGCGAGGACGCAGCCACAGATTGAATGCATGCTTCAGCCAACAGGTGGGCGCACCCAGTCTATCTAGTTTGACTTGGTGAGCTTCGAAGGGTGTCATGTCGTCGTACATTGACCAATCCTCGACGAACGCCACTCCATGTTTGTGGCATGCTGGATGTGGCCCTGACCGCAATGGTTGACTCAACGAGCAGTCAATGGCTGAACGCTCCCTGGTGGTGCCCCAATAACCCCGATCAAGGGTCACATGTATATGCTGGATTAGTGACCGTCGAGCTCGCAGCCATCTGTAGCACATGCCTGCGTGCCACATTATCAATGTGTCGCTGCCGCTCGGCTTGCTTCTTTTGACGAGCAAGGTCGGGCGACAAGCGCTGCTGCAAGCGCCCCGAAGAGGCGCCCGACTCAGTCGGGCACCTTGGGGAGCTGCGCGATTCGCCGCGCCGCCAGCGCCGCGAATTCGGCAACGCTGCCCCCAGCGCAGCGCACGTCGCGCAGCAAGAGCAGGGCTTGCCCTCGCGCCGGCAGCCGCTCCCTCCACCCTGCAGGCAGGCACTCCCGAGCGCCTCCGCCGGCGTCGCTGCGCACGCGCCGTGCCGGAGACAGGTGGCGCGGCCCGGCCCCTGCGCGAGGGCGCGCGACAGCCGCGACCGCCCTGCGAAGAAGGCGGCGAGCCTGGCGCCAGGGCGGCCGGGGTCGTCTCCGCCGCAGCGCCGAGGCGGCGGCGACGGCGCCGGCGGCAGGGGCGCGCGCCCAGCACGGGCGGCGGCGCCCGGCGGCGCGGAGCCCGCGCGAGCCCGAGCCCCGCGGCGCACGCTGCGCCTGTCGCGCGGCCGGCGGCGGGCGGCGGGCGGCGCCGCTGCCATGGCAGCCAGCTGCGTGGCTGCGAGCACGCGTTGCGCTGCCTCCAGCTGCTCGAGCTCCCGTCGGCGCGCTGCCACCGCTGCCTCAGGCGGGGCCCGCTTCGCGGCGGCCGCGCCAGCGTTGCCGTCGGCCGCCGCGTTGCCAATGCGGCCCCGCTCGGGCCTCCGCTGCCGTCAGGTGCGCGGGGGCCCAGCGGGCCCTCAGCCTTCCGTTGCGGATGGCAACCTCCGCCTGCTGCTAGAGGTCGGCGCGCCCCCGCTC